GAGAGAGAGAGAGAGGGAGAGAGGGGAGGGGAGGGGAGGGTGAGGGTGAGGGGGGAGGGGGAGAGGGAGAGAGAGAGGCCCCGATGAGCATTAGCCCGGTAATAAAATTTAGGCAAAACCGTCCCCACTCCGGCCACCTGGTTCAAACCATTTTTTGAAACGCCTGTTGCTCTCACACACAGCTGCTCATGATTTCTCCTCCCCCTCCATTCACGACGGCTTGCGCGGTGATTCGGGCATGGGTTCGTCGTAGATCCGCCGACCCGGCAGGCCGTTCGCGGGCGCGCATCGTCGGTGACATGCAGAGGCAATCCCCATCCCCATCCCTCCCCTTCCCCCGTGTTGTTTTTCTCGCGCATGACCGGCCCTGGAGGTTCGATATTCTAGGGTTTAGGTGATGTTGCAGGGTGGGTTTGGGGTGGTTTTCACCGACACGGAGCATGGGGTGTCCACGGACGAAGCGGAGCAAGGGGATGTCCATGGTGCACGCTCGTTCATTGGGGTGGGGTTGGTTGACATCAACCGGGCGACAATGGAGGGAAGGGGTATTGGGGGGAGGGGGTTGTTACAGTTTAGCACAACGTCCGAATTTGGAATGGAGGCCTCTTGGTTAGAATAGTAGGAGAAAAAGGCACGAGACGGAATTTAAGGATCCCTTCCCTGTCAGCAATCGAGCCAAAAGCGAACCAAAGACCCCAATCTCCGAACTGATACCGCAGAAATTTCTAGTTTTGTTACCTATTGTTATGCGTATGTGTAACCACTGATTTGGTAATCCGAGAGCCCGGATATCTCTTTAAAATAGGCTTTTGCCCCGCTTTAGGAGCAACAATATCTAGGTACCTCTTGATTTCCAATCCTAGATTCGTAAGCTCTTATTGGACGCTTATTTTGTCTAACAGCGAACACGAAAAATCATGACCTCTAACTATGAATATGTGATCCTAGCCACTCGAACTAGTGAGTTTTTTTTTTGAGAAATACTCGAACTAGTGAGTGATAGTGATAGATATGCAGCGGCAATGTTTAAAAACTCCCTGCAACGGTGAATTCCAGCCATTAAAAAAACGCAAACATTTCTTGCAGACATGAACATTTTTTTAAGAGATGGTTTTCTAAAAATCCAAACAATTATGAAGACACAAATAATCTTTGAAAACACGAATATTTTTGAAATTTCCAAACATTTTTTGAATTTGATAATATTTTATCAAATTCAAACTATTTTGAATTTTTGAACATTTTCCAAATTGGTGAAAAATAGAAACCCAAATTTATTTAAAACAAACTGAACATTTTTCAAGAAAACAAAAAATATTTAAAATTTCCAAGCAATTTTCAAAAACACGAAGGTTTTATGAATTTATGAACAATTATTTTAAACATGATTTTTTTAGCTTGGGAACTATGAGTTAAGAACATGATTTTTCAAATTTACAAACATTTTTTAAAAACTCAAACAATATTTTGGAAAACAAACGACTTTTCAAATTCTGAACATTTTTTGAAAAGTTTGAAATTATGAAAAAGAGAAGGAAAAAATGAAGTAGAAAAACAATAAAGAATAGAAAATTAGTAATAAAAAGGAAAAAAATTAGTCTAAACACACTTTATTTATTATTAAATAATGAATTTGGGAATACAAGAAAGATCTGGAGGGTTCAGTAGCCAAAGATGGCGGCCAAACTCCAAACCAAAAGCATGTCTAGCAAGGCTATGTGCCTTGAAATTGTTCTCACGCGTTCAAAGATGAAGGAGCATTCATTTGTAATAGCTATAATCTCCCTGATGACACTGGCATAGGTTCCTCCGGTTCCCTGTTTAATGTTATTGACTACAACTTGATAATCTAAAGCGATCTTCACATGTGATAGTGATAGGTGTAGAGCAAGTGCCATAGGCTCTCGACAAGCTAGTGCTTCAAGAGACGTTGGATCTGTAATCCTGAAGATCCTAATGGTCGAGACGCCTAGATAGACACCTGATGAATCCCTGCATACTACGCTAAATGATTCTTCATTTGCTTCACGCGATACGGCACCGTCAACTCTTATCTTGGCAACACTTTGCACAAGCGGGACCCACCTCACTTGTTGATGCCATGCTGAAGGAAATATGCCCTAGAGGCAATAATAAAGTTATTATTTATTTCCTCATATCATGATAAATGTTTATTATTCATGCTAGAATTGTATTAACTGGAAACATGATACAGTGTGAATACATAGACAAAACATATAGTCACTAGTATGCCTCTACTTGACTAGCTCATTGATCAAAGATGGTTATGTTTCCTGACCATAGACATGTGTTGTCATTTGATTAGTGGGATCACATCATTAGAAGAATGATGTGATTGACATGACCCATTCCGTTAGCCTAGCACTTGATCGTTTAGTATACTGCTATTGCTTTCTTCATGACTTATACATGTTCCTGTAACTATGAGAATTATGCAACTCCCGTTTACCGGAGGAACACTTTGGGTACTACCAAACGTCACAACGTAACTGGGTGATTATAAAGGAGTACTACAGGTGTCTCCGAAGGTACATGTTAAGTTGGCGTATTTCGAGATTAGGTCTTGTCACTCCGATCGTCGGAGAGGTATCTCTGGGCCCTCTCGGTAATGCACATCATTATAAGCCTTGCAAGCAATATGACCAAATGAGTTGGTTACGGGATGATGCATTACACAACGAGTAAAGAGACTTGCCGGTAACGAGATTGAACTAGGTATTGGATACCGACGATCAAATCTCGGACAAGTAACATACCGATGACAAAGGGAACAAAGTATGTTGTTATGCGGTTTGACCGATAAAGATCTTCGTAGAATATGAAGGAACCAATATGGGCATCCAGGTCCCGCTATTGGTTATTGAACGAGAATAGTTCTAGGTCATGTCTACATAGTTCTCGAACCCGTAGGGTCCGCACGCTTAACGTTACGATGACAGTTTTATTATGAGTTTATAAGTTTTGATGTACTGAAGTTTGTTCGGAGTCCCGGATGTGATCGTGGACATGACGAGGAGTCTCGAAATGGTCGAGACATAAAGATTTATATATTGGACGACTATATTCGGACACCGGAAGTGTTCCGGGTGATTTCGGAGAAAACCGGAGTGCCGGAGGGGTTACCGGAACCCCCCGGGGAAGTATTGGGCCTTAGTGGGCCTGAGGGGAGAGAGAGCGCAGCAGCCCAGGAGGTGGCGCGCCCCCTCCCGTGGGGAGTCCGAATTGGACTAGGGGAGGGGGGCGCGGCCCCTCTTTCCCTCTCCCTCTCCCCCTCTTTCCTTCCCCCTTCCTCCTTCCTAGTTGGACTAGGAAAGGGGAGTCCTACTCCCACTAGGAGGAGGACTCCCCCCTCCTTGGCGCACCCCAAGGGCCGGCCTACCTCCCCCCTTGCTCCTTTATATACGGGGGCGGGGGGCACCCCATAGACACACAAGTTGATCTACGGATCGTTCCTTAGCCGTGTGCGGTGCCCCCCTCCACCATATTCCACCTCGGTCATATCGTCGCGGAGTTTAGGTGAAGCACTGCGCCGGTAGAACATCATCATCGTCACCACGCCGTCGTGCTGACGGAACTCATCTCTGGAGCTTTGCTGGATCGGAGCCCGGAGATCGTCATCGAGCTGAACGTG